ACTTTCCCCAAAACGGTCCCCGTTGCATTGACGTTTAAGGCCCGTAAAGCCCCCTAGACTCGTAAAATATCCGTAAAATCGCCTTTGTACGGACAAAAAAGTGGTGCTATGGTAAAAATGGGTATCTGGGTAAACGAGAGCTTTCGATTGATACCCATTTTTACCCTAGCGCCCCGTTTTTGGCCGTACAAGGGCGAATTTACGGATTTTTTACGAGTTTACGGGGCTTTAAGGGCCTTAAACGTCAATGCAACGGGGACCGTTTTGGGGAAAGTTTCTCGGCTGGTGGTGGGGCACCTGTGTGCCGATTTTGAACGAAATCGGGGGGGACCCCCCATTGACCCAAAATTTTGATTTTCCCGTACAAACTTTCCTATGAGAAAAAAGTGGAATTTTCCTGCAGGACTGTGTCTGGGTAAACGAGAGCTTTCGATTGATACCCATTTTTACCATAGCACCACTTTTTTGTCCGTACAAAGGCGATTTTACGGATATTTTACGAGTCTAGGGGGCTTTACGGGCCTTAAACGTCAATGCAACGGGGACCGTTTTGGGGAAAGTTTCTTGGCAGGTGGTGGGACACCTGTGTGCCGATTTTGAACGAAATCGGGGGGACCCCCCATTGACCCGAAATTTTGATTTTCCCGTAAAAACTTTCCTATGGAGAAAAAGTGAAATTTTCCTGCAGTACTGTGTCTGGGTAAACGAGAGCTTTCGATTGATACCCATTTTTACCCTAGCGCCCCGTTTTTGGCCGTACAAGGGCGAATTTACGGATTTTTTACGAGTTTACGGGGCTTTAAGGGCCTTAAACGTCAATGCAACGGGGACCGTTTTGGGGAAAGTTTCTCGGCTGGTGGTGGGGCACCTGTGTGCCGATTTTGAACGAAATCGGGGGGGACCCCCCATTGACCCAAAATTTTGATTTTCCCGTAAAAACTTTCCTATGGGAAAAAAGTGGAATTTTCCTGCAGGACTGTGTCTGGGTAAACGAGAGCTTTCGATTGATACCCATTTTTACCATAGCACCACTTTTTTGTCCGTACAAAGGCGATTTTACGGATATTTTACGAGTCTAGGGGGCTTTACGGGCCTTAAACGTCAATGCAACGGGGACCGTTTTGGGGAAAGTTTCTCGGCTGGTGGTGGGGCACCTGTGTGCCGATTTTGAACGAAATCGGGGGGGACCCCCCATTGACCCAAAATTTTGATTTTCCCGTACAAACTTTCCTATGGGGAAAAAGTGAAATTTTACTGCAGGACTGTGTCTGGGTAAACGAGAGCTTTCGATTGATACCCATTTTTACCATAGCACCACTTTTTTGTCCGTACAAAGGCGATTTTACGGATATTTTACGAGTCTAGGGGGCTTTACGGGCCTTAAACGTCAATGCAACGGGGACCGTTTTGGGGAAAGTTTCTCGGCTGGTGGTGGGGCACCTGTGTGCCGATTTTGAACGAAATCGGGGGGGACCCCCCATTGACCCAAAATTTTGATTTTCCCGTACAAACTTTCCTATGGGGAAAAAGTGAAATTTTCCTGCAGGACTGTGTCTGGGTAAACGACAGCTTTCGATTGATACCCATTTTTACCATAGCACCACTTTTTTGTCCGTACAAAGGCGATTTTACGGATATTTTACGAGTCTAGGGGGCTTTACGGGCCTTAAACGTCAATGCAACGGGGACCGTTTTGGGGAAAGTTTCTCGGCTGGTGGTGGGGCACCTGTGTGCCGATTTTGAACGAAATCGGGGGGGACCCCCCATTGACCCAAAATTTTGATTTTCCCGTACAAACTTTCCTATGGGGAAAAAGTGAAATTTTCCTGCAGGACTGTGTCTGGGTAAACGAGAGCTTTCGATTGATACCCATTTTTACCATAGCACCACTTTTTTGTCCGTACAAAGGCGATTTTACGGATATTTTACGAGTCTAGGGGGCTTTACGGGCCTTAAACGTCAATGCAACGGGGACCGTTTTGGGGAAAGTTTCTCGGCTGGTGGTGGGGCACCTGTGTGCCGATTTTGAACGAAATCGGGGGGGACCCCCCATTGACCCAAAATTTTGATTTTCCCGTACAAACTTTCCTATGGGGAAAAAGTGAAATTTTCCTGCAGGACTGTGTCTGGGTAAACGAGAGCTTTCGATTGATACCCATTTTTACCATAGCACCACTTTTTTGTCCGTACAAAGGCGATTTTACGGATATTTTAAGAGTCTAGGGGGCTTTACGGGCCTTAAACGTCAATGCAACGGGGACCGTTTTGGGGAAAGTTTCTCGGCTGGTGGTGGGGCACCTGTGTGCCGATTTTGAACGAAATCGGGGGGGACCCCCCATTGACCCAAAATTTTGATTTTCCCGTACAAACTTTCCTATGGGGAAAAAGTGAAATTTTCCTGCAGGACTGTGTCTGGGTAAACGAGAGCTTTCGATTGATACCCATTTTTACCATAGCACCACTTTTTTGTCCGTACAAAGGCGATTTTACGGATATTTTACGAGTCTAGGGGGCTTTACGGGCCTTAAACGTCAATGCAACGGGGACCGTTTTGGGGAAAGTTTCTCGGCTAGTGGTGGGGCACCTGTGTGCCGATTTTGAACGAAATCGGGGGGGACCCCCCATTGACCCAAAATTTTGATTTTCCCGTACAAACTTTCCTATGGGGAAAAAGTGAAATTTTCCTGCAGGACTGTGTCTGGGTAAACGAGAGCTTTCGATTGATACCCATTTTTACCATAGCACCACTTTTTTGTCCGTACAAAGGCGATTTTACGGATATTTTACGAGTCTAGGGGGCTTTACGGGCCTTAAACGTCAATGCAACGGGGACCGTTTTGGGGAAAGTTTCTCGGCTGGTGGTGGGGCACCTGTGTGCCGATTTTGAACGAAATCGGGGGGGACCCCCCATTGACCCAAAATTTTGATTTTCCCGTACAAACTTTCCTATGGGGAAAAAGTGAAATTTTCCTGCAGGACTGTGTCTGGGTAAACGAGAGCTTTCGATTGATACCCATTTTTACCATAGCACCACTTTTTTGTCCGTACAAAGGCGATTTTACGGATATTTTAAGAGTCTAGGGGGCTTTACGGGCCTTAAACGTCAATGCAACGGGGACCGTTTTGGGGAAAGTTTCTCGGCTGGTGGTGGGGCACCTGTGTGCCGATTTTGAACGAAATCGGGGGGGACCCCCCATTGACCCAAAATTTTGATTTTCCCGTACAAACTTTCCTATGGGGAAAAAGTGAAATTTTCCTGCAGGACTGTGTCTGGGTAAACGAGAGCTTTCGATTGATACCCATTTTTACCATAGCACCACTTTTTTGTCCGTACAAAGGCGATTTTACGGATATTTTACGAGTCTAGGGGGCTTTACGGGCCTTAAACGTCAATGCAACGGGGACCGTTTTGGGGAAAGTTTCTCGGCTGGTGGTGGGGCACCTGTGTGCCGATTTTGAACGAAATCGGGGGGGACCCCCCATTGACCCAAAATTTTGATTTTCCCGTACAAACTTTCCTATGGGGAAAAAGTGAAATTTTCCTGCAGGACTGTGTCTGGGTAAACGAGAGCTTTCGATTGATACCCATTTTTACCATAGCACCACTTTTTTGTCCGTACAAAGGCGATTTTACGGATATTTTACGAGTCTAGGGGGCTTTACGGGCCTTAAACGTCAATGCAACGGGGACCGTTTTGGGGAAAGTTTCTCGGCTGGTGGTGGGGCACCTGTGTGCCGATTTTGAACGAAATCGGGGGGGACCCCCCATTGACCCAAAATTTTGATTTTCCCGTACAAACTTTCCTATGGGGAAAAAGTGAAATTTTCCTGCAGGACTGTGTCTGGGTAAACGAGAGCTTTCGATTGATACCCATTTTTACCATAGCACCACTTTTTTGTCCGTACAAAGGCGATTTTACGGATATTTTACGAGTCTAGGGGGCTTTACGGGCCTTAAACGTCAATGCAACGGGGACCGTTTTGGGGAAAGTTTCTCGGCTGGTGGTGGGGCACCTGTGTGCCGATTTTGAACGAAATCGGGGGGGACCCCCCATTGACCCAAAATTTTGATTTTCCCGTACAAACTTTCCTATGGGGAAAAAGTGAAATTTTCCTGCAGGACTGTGTCTGGGTAAACGAGAGCTTTCGATTGATACCCATTTTTACCATAGCACCACTTTTTTGTCCGTACAAAGGCGATTTTACGGATATTTTACGAGTCTAGGGGGCTTTACGGGCCTTAAACGTCAATGCAACGGGGACCGTTTTGGGGAAAGTTTCTCGGCTGGTGGTGGGGCACCTGTGTGCCGATTTTGAACGAAATCGGGGGGGACCCCCCATTGACCCAAAATTTTGATTTTCCCGTACAAACTTTCCTATGGGGAAAAAGTGAAATTTTCCTGCAGGACTGTGTCTGGGTAAACGAGAGCTTTCGATTGATACCCATTTTTACCATAGCACCACTTTTTTGTCCGTACAAAGGCGATTTTACGGATATTTTACGAGTCTAGGGGGCTTTACGGGCCTTAAACGTCAATGCAACGGGGACCGTTTTGGGGAAAGTTTCTCGGCTGGTGGTGGGGCACCTGTGTGCCGATTTTGAACGAAATCGGGGGGGACCCCCCATTGACCCAAAATTTTGATTTTCCCGTACAAACTTTCCTATGGGGAAAAAGTGAAATTTTACTGCAGGACTGTGTCTGGGTAAACGAGAGCTTTCGATTGATACCCATTTTTACCTCCTTGTGACGTCATTTCTAGGGGAAAACGGGTCATAAAGGTTTCCCTCTACCGGGGCCTTTTTTCCCCCTACCGAATCTGTGCTGTGCTGAACCTGTGCTGAATCTGTGCCAACTTCCGTTACATCAATTTTTCCGTGATTGCGTTATTGTGTTAGCTACGGTTCCTGCAGACCATAGGCTGAGAGAGCATTACATGAGGCGAGCGATGAACAACTGAACAGCATTACTCCACCCAACTTTATGTCTTGATAGCGCGACATGCCTTGGCTAAATAGGTATGTAATTTGCAAGGTTAGACATAATTTGCAAGGTTAGGTACGATTATAAATCGAGGCATTCAGTCAGTTAAATGCCGAGATTATACTGTGGTAAGAATATTTTACATTGAACCATCGTCAATCTATTCCATCTTGTAACATATACGACCGCATAATAATTTGTAATTCCTCCCTACCCTAGAGACCCCTCGCCCCTTACTCCAGTCCCTTGCATTCCCACCCAACCGTTAGGCGGCACGGGCGGACATCGATAGCAGCGCCTCTATCGGTCACTAGGGAAAGCTTGGCTGTAGGGGACGAAATACCGGCTGAGTTGTCACATGTTGAATAAGTTTATAGACATCCGTCTTGTGAAAAAGTTGAACTTTTGCCTTCAATATTTCTACAGGCAATTTTAGAAGTGTCTTCACATACCTAGATTACAAAACCATTTAGATTATTGTATTCACTTCAAGCCTTTCCTATTGTTCTTGACGATGATGCGGGAACTATTTCTAATTAGTGTCTCTAGCTTAGTAAAAGAACATATTATGCAAACGATGAAAAAAGCATAAATGGAAGATTTTATATGCAATTTTCTCTAACAATTGATGGTAAATTATCTACATATCAAGGAAAAGATGCATGCTAACTGATAATTTAAAGTTCCTGGGGCCAGTTGTTCTCCTCTTTTCTTTCGTCGCCCCAATGGCCGCGAATACACTTGTGATAACGCCTATCGCTCTACCTACTGACGAGTACGCCCATTGTGCCCCAGGATACTGGGGTTCCGTCGCGCGCCTCCTGTGATCGGGCGTCTGATGAATATTACCACCGATCTGTACGCCAAGGCCACGGGCAAGCTGCTCAAGACGTTCTTCATCTCGCCCGCGGATAACCTGTGCTTCCACGGAAAATGCAGGTTAGTTAACTCGTCGGAAACGGAGGTCTGTATCCGAGAAATACCTTACCAACGCGCTACGTCGTAAAGAATGACGCAAAATACTCGCCGGTTCCTTTACTATTTTTATCTTAATTTGACCATAGATACAACCCACAGTACTAAACGACAATTTGTTATTATTGTCAATGAACCCATTCCAAGAAATGCATAGATACCGACATCAATGGCGAAATTGCATAAAAACAATTATGTCCGGGACTTGACGACAGCCTAGATTCAGCAGTTCCTGTCAGTTCCTATTCACGCTAACTGGTCGTCGCTGGGACCACTATACAGTATAGGTACATTTCTTCTGTCATAAATGGAAAATAGCGGTGTTGATTAGAGGAACTCTTCAGGAAATGAGGTGAGTCACTCCGTTCGCCGGCAGTGCCGATCAACTACGGTTGTCGAGCCACTCGAAAACAGGCTGCGTCCGGTGCCGAATGAACAATCTCCCCGAACGGCCCATTGCAATGGGCCACAGCAGAATGCAGTGGAGCATGGGGGAGGAAGCGTTCCTTTGGAGCCATACGTTGCTGTCGGCAGTATTGGGAATGATCGATTTTTTACATTACATTTATTAAATTTCGTTCATGTACGCATATGCAAACACATATCAATCATGTATCACATGTCACTCCTGAACCGCACAACGCAACAAAGGCTCAAACCTCTAGACTCTAGTGGAAGCACCACGGGATCCTGCCCCGCCCCGAGAATGGTAGATTTGTCATTTGATATCTTTATCAAAAAGCGTGCGAGTACTTTGTTGGTAGCACCTATCGAGCTCTGTTTTGTGCAAGCATTTCACGCACGCTTGCAGATCACGGTCGCTAAGCCCCAGCCATAGCTGCACTGGCTGCACTATCTTATTCACACAAGCTGTAATGATAAAGCCAGAGGCGCCAGATGACTGTCTCAAGGACGAGCCGATCCGTTTAAGTTTAAGTTTTGTTGGGTTAGGCCCTTTCGGTCCAATGGGACCATTTCAGAGCCGGGAGGATGATAGGATATAGGGGGAGACATTGGTCTGGGTAGGCACCCTAGTGAGTCGCCGGGGCTGAGCCCGTCCAGAGGACAGGCCACCCATCCCCAAGGCACTCACTGCACCCGGCTACGGGGTGCGCTCCCTCGGGAGCAGCGGTGCCGCTCCAAGGGAGCAGCCCGCATGAGATAAAGTTGCCTGTCCAGCCCGGAGGGGGGTTGCGGCGTGGAGGAGAAGGATTTCAGTATCCTGAGGATAGAAGCACGGAACGGTGTGTGCCGATCCTTAGACCACACACACATTAAACGCATAAGGATGTGGTCTAAGGAGCCGATCCTTAGACAACATCCTTATGCGTTTCATGTGCGAGTCTCTCGAGTGTGGTGGCCGCCTATCAGATGTGGCAAGGTTCAGTATGGCGTATCGCAATGACTCCCGGACGTAGGTCTAGACACCAGATAGCTACCGCCCACACCGATATTGTACGGCGTTTAGTGAAGTACTTGACACCCGCGCCGTAGGTCACAAGCGGAAAAGGAAAATGAACACTAATTCAAAGTGGTCTGTCTAAAAAACCGGTCCCAAGAATACAGTAACATTAGCCGACGAATTACCGGTCCAGTCGAACACACTCGTATGTTTTCCGTCCTAGCTGGGGCTGTGGGCGTCAAAAGGACCATTCTGGGGGCTCAGGAGCATTGGTCAACCAGTTATCGATCCCGCGGGACACAACATCAGTGGGGGACGGGGAACTGAACCAAACGCCGGGAACGCAAGCGACAATAATCGTTATAACATCCGCCCCAGGGGACGCATGCAAGGTCCCCACGAGGTCGATTTGGGTGTGTAATGTATATGTGCAATGTGGCTGGTGTATGGCCCATACAGGAGAGCCCGCACCCGCGACAGTTCACACTTGGATTTGTGCCACGTTTATCAATTTGATACAACTGGGCGAATGGCTATTACGACTGCACTGTGCAATCCGTGACAGATTGGAACAGGGTGAGGAGAGGACAGGGTAGAACGGAAAAAGGGAGGTGCAATGTGCATGCCATTAGTAGGGTGACGGGTGTCACACCAAAGTTCCACCGGATGGGAGGGTACACACGAACCGTTGAAAGCCATGGCCAATCAGATCAGTTGACATGACATTGCGCTTTGTGCTTGGTTCCGTGACTGCTGCTGCAGGATTCACGCTTGGTGAACTAGTGCAAATTACACAAAGGAAATTTTTGCTGTCACTCTTCATAATCTGGCGCCCTCCCTGATTTTCAGACGTATTTTCCCGTGCGACCCCTTTCATCAAGTTGCTAATTAGTAAGCACTACGATGCAGACCATATCATTTGGGGGAGGGGGCTCCCCCTGTATCCGCTCCACTCTCCATAGCTCCCTTCTTCCGCATTCCCTAGTTACTTCTGTGGCACGACCTATCCCATCTAGCCCCTCGCCTAAATATCCCCCTAATCACCACCTGCGAGCTGAACCCTTCCTTCGCTTCCCCTCAGCCACTACTACACGACACGGACCACCCATCTGCCCTCCTTATTCCCCCATTTTTTTTATCAGTTACGACCGTTAGCTGACCCCTTCCCGCGTTTCCCCTAAGTTACTACTTCGACACGGGCCACGCCAGCTAGTCTCTCACAAACGTCTCTTCAATCCCTATTTATTGTGATCTGACCTCCTTCATCTTCCCCACAGTTACTACTGTGACACGGGCCACGCGATCTGCGGGAACCCGGACATGCTGGAGGGCAGCTTCGCCGCGCTGCTGCCGCACTCGGACGACGCCGAACGAAAGACGTGGAGGCATCCGTGGAAGAGGGCCTACCACAAGCGCAGGAAAGCAACGTGGGAGGAGGGTGAGTGAGAGCGCTAAGTTACCTGATGTAAATACCAACCCTAACGAACCTTGAATCACAAGCTAGGAAGGTATCAAGCAGCATTGCTCGCCAGTACACCACGCCTTTTGCTTGGGCGACTGTGATGCATACGGTGGCACGCAGAGCGAGTTTGTTTGGCAAGATTGCACGGTTCATGCCGCTGAATAACGTTACTACGCCTTTTGGTGACGGAGTGACAAGCGCATACATGACATGGCCCGCTGGGAGTGTGTTCTCCATAGATGCTGACACGATACTGCTGCTGACAGCCACGTCGCGAGTGCTTGAAGTGGAGGAAATGCGTAGCATCGACGATGTCCATAGTCACAAAATAATTGTCACCGAAAGTGTCTCAGTTTGCCCAGCAGCCTTTTCATTCCATTAGCCGCGAGTCTTCTGCTAGGATTGCCTTAGCCCTCCTACATATAACACACATCAAGAAAGTCACCTATTTAGCGGAATATAGCCCGTGGCGCTCAAATTTAATCTCTCGCAGAAAGCTTAGCAGACTCAATTCCACTATCTGGTGCGACCTTCTACTCGTAAGCAGGACGACAGTTGTCAGCACATCTCAACTGTATTGCGTTGTTCCCTGACAGGAAGTGATTATTGACAATTGTAGATACAATCAAACGCAGGCGGCATAACACTGCGACGCAGGCGGATTGTCTATTCTTGCTCGCACGTCAGTACGACCTAAGACACCTATAAACGTCGTTACGTCCTCTATCGTCAGACGAGAACTACTGCGAAATGGTGCAAGAGATTCCTCCGTACGACAAGGGCCGACGTCTGTACGACATTATGGACATGGCCGTGCTGGACTTCCTGATGGGAAACATGGACAGACACCACTACGAGACGTTCGAGATCTTCGGGAACGAGACATTCCTGCTGCATCTCGATCATGGCAGGTGGGTCAGCTTGTAAGGAGAGAAACGGTGGTACGCGAGGTTGAGTTGCGGTCAGTGCAAGAATACCTGGCAGGTTTGCAAGCTCAAGATTTCCCGGAGGGGTTTCCACGGTCATTCATGCTTCCTCCGCTTCGGAAATACGTAACAATTTCCTATTTCGGAAAAACAAAACATTTTCCTAGTGCAACTATGTAATTATATAAGTGCAGTATAGGTTCTTAGATGTTCTTCAACACACTAATCGGAAACACCGGCAGTAATAATTCGACATCATTTTGCAGTGATAAGGGATCCGGCTTTGCGCCCAACGTGCTTCCTCAAACGGTAACCATACTTGCTGGTCCACAGAGGGTTCGGGAAGTCGCAGAAAGACGAGCTGAGCATCCTGGCGCCACTCTACCAGTGCTGCCTCATCAGGGCGTCAACGCTGCGGACGCTCTACGGGTGAGTGTACCATCCGTCAGCTCCGCTAAGCAATCCTCATACCCTCCTCCGGACTCCTAAATAATTCAGTTATCAATCATCTTCGAGTTCCTTGCTCCGTACACAGGCTTTCCCACATTCATATCTAGTCCTAGCCTCACCCGGATCCCTTTTTCAATCTCCAGTGTCTAATCCCCTTGTCCCTGATACTTCTTGTCATCACGGCCCATGCTTATTGCTTAGCCTCCTTCATTTCTCAATAGCTAATTACTCTTGGCCCCTTTCCCAAAGCCCACCTATTCCATGCCTTCATTTCACTCAGCTCTTCTCTTCAAGTTTTCTACAGTCTCCCTCAGGCCCGCCGTCATCAAATACCAACGGACACACACATTATATAAAGTTATCCTACATATTAGTGGAAGTTGGCACGGTGACCAGGCGTAATAACTCGCAACTCAATTTGTCCGAGGAGTGAGGAATGCCATCATTCGACCCAACTGTACCGGCTCTCGCGCGTGCCTCGTCCAATTGGATATAGATCAGACTCAGCGGCAACAAAACGCCGCCAGATCAGACATAATTGTGGCGAAAATGGCCCGTAGATCGTTCTTACTTATTCGCGCGACTGCCCTGGATTGGATAGAAATCGAGGCTTTGATCAGGCGGAGATGAGTTACGGCTGTCAGAAGGCCGGCCTGCATCGAATGGGAAGGAGTCTAACGGACGGACGTTTCGAGAGCATTTAAAATGGTTGGTGGTTGGAGGTTTTGAGGTAAATCTAGGAGGCACGTTCTTGACCTGTAACTAGATGAGATGAAGTTACCCACACCTAATTACCACCCATATTGCTCAAACGAAACATATTTTTATTCATTCATTTCACCGGGTTCATCCGTAATTTCAATTCGTCCACACACTCCAGATCCACGAGTCATTTCCAGCTATCCCATAGGCGTGAAATATATCGTATCGTACTCGCATTTCAACCGATCCCCGCGTTTCATCTCGCACGTATCGAACCAGCACGTGATCCGCATTCCTCGGATCTTCCACATCTCAATCACACCTCATGGCAACATATCGTCTGTCTAGATCCGTGTCTAGCCCGCACCTCACATGATGCATCACGTGACCTGTTTCCAGGTACCACACGGGCCGTAAGCTGTCGGACAGGCTACGAGAGTCACTGTCACGTGACCCACTAGCGCCCATTCTATTGGAGAAGCATCTGGTGGCAGTGGATAGGAGAGTTGGCATAATACTGCAGGTAAACTAAACGTCGTGACGCAAAGACGGGTCGAGCTTGTGGATCGGTTAGGTTACTGAATGCATATCGTTCTAGGTCACGTCATGTTAGGGAGATTATTTTAGGTCACGTCAAGGGAGATGCCAGTGAACACAAGTCAAGAAAAATGTTGTGTGGGGTTTCATGAGATGAGCTGGTCGTGCTTGGTCGTGTAACATGCTAATGGTCAAGTCAAGAGAGGGTTAAAGACGTTGACGGTGAATGGGTATGAGTAGGAGGCATCATGGTGCTAGCCGTCGGCTGACCACTCAACCAAAGCTCGCTGATTGACCGACTGTCGCTGTGTTTTCAGGTGGTGCAGAAGTGTCTGGACGCCAACGATGTAGCCGATACGGTGATCTATAACGACTTGCTAGTCTGAAGTCACCATTAAGTCGAATAAGAGAGTCCTTAGGAGTTTGGTTGGGCCTTGGACGGTCCTCAGGCAGGGCCTGGAATTGGGTGGATGTCTTATCAGGAGTTTTTTTTTTAGGCCAGATCTGTGACCTTGAGCCAGGTCTGAAATGGTATTCATGTCGAGTCAATCAGCCCTGTGGATTGTGGAATGTATGGGTTCCATGTGAAGTCAAGAACTAGCCGAGGGCTGGTCCCCAGGCCAAGTCAGGTACCGGTCTAAGCCTAAACTTGAGACGTTGCCCAGGTTTAATCATGGACCGACTTCAGGTCAAGTCAAGCTCAGGCCGAAAGAATCGTAGTCAGGACCAAGCTCCCTCTTGTCTATCGTCCGTGCGGGCACGCTTTGGTGTTATTACGACCCCTCCTTGTTGGGCTGTTTGCAGATGTACCCGTTTGTATGTTTGTCTGCTCGTCGGGTGCGTGTGTTCAATGGGTCAGTAGGTATGTTTGCTGTTCATGCCAGGTGTGATGTGTAAAGGTGTGTCGCATTCTGGGAAAGCAGTGTGTCCACTACTGGATTATAGGACAGTACTGGCGCTTTCGTATCGGTACAGAGGCATTTCGGGACCAGGTAGGATCTTGGAATAAGCGCTACCAGTCAATGAAACGCCAGCATAGCCAAGTGTAGTCAGCGAGGCTTCGTCTCGGATACTATAGAGACTGTCTAGGGGGTAGTTCTGGTGAGGCTCACCACTTCTAGGGGCCAGGGTCGCCGCGTATCGGTCTTTCAGGAGGCTCGGTCACTGTCCCGCTGATCGAGCGATGTGGGACGCTGGCATATGCGGAGCTCCCGCTAAGCATATCGCGACGGGGGCCAATGTGGGTCGATGGTTCGGCTATGGACGTGATGTGCTGTACGATTTTAGAAGCATCGCCGACAGTGAAGTGATCGGTGAGGTTGTCACTGCTGCTATTCTGTGACCGCTCATAACCAGAGCTGCCATAACACTGTTACCATTCAATATCGGTAGTTCATACGGTTTAGAATTACGAGCTGAAAACTAGAAACCTATGAGCGGTTTAGCTCACCAGCGACAATATTTAAAGGGACCCTCCCACCTTCAAAAAAGTTAATGAATTGGCATGAAAGTGATGTCCCTTGGTTCAGAAAGAGCGAAAACGAATATCTACCAAATTTCACCGAAAAATATTCACTGGTTTTCAAGATATTAGGCTTTTACTTTTGTTTACTTTTTGGGATCTCCCCTGTTACTAGCGACTTTATTTGGAAGCAATAATTTGGCAGCCTTAAAGTGCGGCAGACGTTGCGCGCAAAGCAGCGTATACCACCACGTGTTAACGATGGTTTTAGTCTAAGATTCAAAAATCGTTAGATCTCCGCTGACGTCACAAATTCTAAGGGGGCATTCCAATGCATTAGCCCCTTAGAATCCGAAAACTGCAAGTTTGAAATTCCATATCTTCGAATTAAAGCATTTTTCGATGTTGTGAGTGCCCAAACCGGTATTTGCAGGCTATGGCCACCAATTTGGCTATCTCAACTCAAAACTAATGTTAAGGTGGGAGTGTCCCTTTAAAGAAGCGAGTAAAACGTAGTTAGCAGTCGACAATCCGGCATTCATGCAGAGACCGTTTGGCATATCGCTCTCTGAGCACGAATATTGGTTCGAGAAAAGATGCATGCTAAAGAGGTTCGTTTAAAATACCAGCGCTGTAAAGAATTGCATGTCGTCAGCTCTGACCAAAGTAAGGTGAGAGTGGAATGGAAACACGAAGTCTTCCTATGGTAGTTTGTCGCAGCAGTGGATGTTCCGCGATGTAACGCGATCGCTCTGTTGATGCATTTCCGTCTCCTGAACTAGACCTAGGCGGGCGGTGGCGGTTCCATATCCGGTGTCTGGACATTGGAAATTGAACAGGCCACCGTCTCAGAAATGAGGGCGTTCTGGCTTCAGAGTTCAGTGCATGTTCCGTTGTCCCAACCAAGTCAGTCGGTGGCTCTTGGAATTGACAAGAGTGTTATTTCAATACAGACAATCGGAAAATATAGAAATAGAGAATATATAAAATAGATAATAGTCAGCGGTTAAACTCGCTATATGCTCAAATATGTGTCATTACTTCCAACTTAAAAGTTCACTTCAACGTTAACAACAGTGTCGAACCTCACCGGGCTAAAATGAGGAAATTCTGCCAACATTTTCCTAGCAATGTGCCATGGCTGTAAGCCTCAGATACATATCCAATAGCGGCAGTGTTTATAAAAAATTTGTCTTTGTGTTCGCCTTTGTGGCAAGCAGTGGCAGCCGCATGGTAGATACTACAGCAGCTACCACAGTGATATCCACATGATGTGGCTCTGTCTGCTATACCAGAAATCCCAGCATGGAACAGGGCTGCGCGGGGCGTGTGAAGCGGGATTATGTGGACGAGAAATGGGGTTGCACGAGCTTCTCACTGTTCCAATGTGAGAGTGTTAAGGTGTGTCGGGGCGTGTCTGGATGAAGTGTTAACCGTTCCCTATGGAGCGATCCACCAGTATTGCACCAAAGTGTCCGTGGTGGCGTGGGTATTACCCCAATACGTCGCCTGAATACATGCTGTGTTGTTGCCAGTGCGTCTTTGAATGCAGGGGATGACCAGACCACGTCAGACTTTCGCACCAAGATACTGATATTTTCCACAAACAGATGACATCGCCAAGTCAACACAGACTATTGAATCATGCTTACTCATCCAGGCTTCGTCACCACGTAAAGTCTATCTCGCACTTCTTCACTTCATTCAACGCTCGCTTCGAGGTCACACTCTCGCACACTCAACCACAGTTCTTAACACACCTTCGCAATGAGGACCTCTTCGGGCAAGCTTGTACCGGGTACGCTAAAAGTCAACCGTATTCTGTCGTTTCAAGGCGGACCGATGCCGTTTCTCTCTTAGACGCTCCCGAGTGGCTCGCTCATGTCTGCGGAGGCAAGTCAGGTTGGGTCAGGTTACTCAGTTGTAGCGACTTGCCTGGGTCAGGTCAGTTCACTTGCAGTTGTGGTGGCTTAGGCTGGGTCAGGTCAGGGCACTTGCAGTTTCAGTGACTTAGGTTGGGTCAAGTCAGGTCACGTAAGTTAGAGTTATAGCGACTTAGGCTGGGTCACGTCAGGTCACTTGCAGTTGTAGTGACTGGTTGGGTCAGGTCAGGTCACGTTACTTACAGCTGTAGTGACATAGGCTGCGACAGGTCAGTTAAGGTCACGTAGAGCTGTAGTGACTTAGCTAGGTCGAACCAGGTCCCGGTTAGGTTAATAATTTACGTGAGCTAGTTAGAACACGTCAGTGGGCCAAAAAATAAGCTAGGATGGCCAGTATTAAAAAAAGCAGAGCAGCTCCTGTCCTTCTCTTCACTTGCAACTTGTTAGAAAACTTAGTAGCCTAATTATACTTGAAAATGTTAAGTAAACAGAACCAATCCACACAGATCATCAAGATCACATAAAGCAAAACTAAGAAAAATAAGCGAAGAAAAATCGATTAACATATGAATGGTCAGATGCATAGTTACTTACTGTTAATAGCATACAGCACACAGCTTGGCATAGTGATTCAGGAACGGCTTGTTCGGATCACAGGAGGCTGAATGGTTCACATGTTAGGTCGTACGACGGGCGAACTCGAGTAAAGAGATAGGAGTGAAATGCTCCGGTCGGTGACACAAGGGTCGCCTCGGTATAAGTTTGGTACAAATGGACAGGAATCCAAGTCAGGAGACTTCTCGTGGCCCAAAAATAACGCATCGAAGGCAAACAGGACTTCGCATAGCTCTGAACGGACGAGGCGAAGCCCAAGCAATGTGGCTCCGTTCAGATCCAGGTGGCGCCACCAGCAATGTTGTGGAGGTAGGATTTGTGAAAAAGAACCCGACGAGGGCTGGCAAATTATCTACAAATATGGTTCTGTGGGACCACTTATCCATCAGGCGGCCAAGGAGGTCGCCCCTGGGCCCGCCTCGGCTCTCTCGGACCACAGCGGACACCCGGCCCCGGTCGGCCGACGCACGACACGCACCAGCAGGCACGCGAAAGCGCCGCAGCGAGCGGTGCGTGCGTGCTATAGCCGCCAGCCGGGCCGCCGTAACGGGGCCACGCACTGTGGGAGAGCCGAGGTGGATGACCCAACGAAACAGCCTGCCAGCAGCGCCACCGGAGGGGCAGCGGCCGCGCCCACCACGGCGGCAGCCCGACCGGTCGGGGAGGACGAGTCAGTCTGGAGGTTCGGCGAGGAGAGGCCGCATGGGAGGAGCACGGGAGGCGGGTGGCCGGGCAGGCGCCCAGCCGGCCACGCTGTGGAGAAGACGGGACGGGACGGCGGAGACGGCAGACGAGACGGGCGGCTGGGTACTCCCAGCCCAGCCGTGCCATGAGCGGACGAGGGTTGGGTTGAGTGAGAGCGACGTGGGAGTGCGAGTGAGAGTGATGTGTAGGACGGTTGTGTAGAGAGCGGAAGGTGAGGTGAGGGATGTTGTTGAGCGGTGAGAGGTGAGAAGTGTCTGGGAGTGCGTGTGTCATGTGTACGCTGTAAGTGGAGTGAGAGATGTTCTCTGTCCTGATTTAACTATTCGGCCATGTTTGATAGTTCATGCTATTCGTAACGTCACTCTAATCTCCCACTTTCGTTCCATCTCTTGAATTCCTCCCTTTATAATAAAAGCCAATCTTGGCAGGAAGTTTTTTGACCGAGCGAGGAGAGAGCGGAGAGGGATCAGAGAGCAGAATTCGAAAGCACAAGGCACACAAATAGAGAAAGGAAAGAGGAGGGAAAACTTTTTACATAACTTTCTCACAGTTCGACACGTGGCATAAATAGTTCACAATGACACTAAAAGTGCGATACATGAATATTGTGGATTGTGATTATAATGGATGGAAGGTAAGCATTTTACGAAATGGTCCTGGTGGACCGTGAGATTAAATATTGCTCACCAAATCACCAGCTCACCTGATAAACAACACCTTTGAAAGTGATCCATGCTTCAGTGTGAAATACTTCACAATTAGCATTTCACCCATTAAGCCCGGTGACACTGAAAACTAATGAACTAGTAGAATATTGTGAATCGGTAACACTTACAGCCGTCGATGTTTTTCGATGCTCTCTGGACTGGCTTCCTTGGGCTTCTGCAGCACATCAGTGACCAGATACCTAACAAAGACAGGGAGACCTGACAGTCAAATGAGGCACTGGGACAAAATTGAAAACATTATCATGCTAACTCGCCTTCCCGGTCACTTGCGATGGCAAAACAGCACAAGGTATTCAAAAGGTCGTCAAAAACTATTATAAGAATGCTGAATTGCCTACAACAGTCATTCACAAGAACGAAAGTAGTACAGTCCTGATCTGAGATTGAGTCAAAGGTCATGTAACCAAAGGTCATCAATGTCAATTTTCATCGAATTTGACAGATGTACCTAGGCACTGACCAATTAGCTCACTACACCAGCACTAATAGAGCACTATTTAGCTAGGCGCGTAACCTAGCACGGCCAGTATGCGGTGTACCGTGCAGTCAGGACTCACCTGATTCTATCCAGGGCATCAGCCATGTTCAGGTGCTGTGAGCGAGTCCGTTCTGAGCGTACCAGCAGGTAACCGTCACGCGAGATACGCGATCGGTACTTCTGCAAACAGGGGACAGAATATGTCATGTTAGGTAGTTTCATTTGATTTCAATAACATCTGCAGAGTGAAGGGCAATATTCACTGTGTGTGTAATTATGTGTGTGTCCAATAATATATCAAAATTGGTAGCCAAAATTATCTTGAAAGTAATAGAAGTAATAGGGCCTTCAAGTGATGACTTGGGGGCTTCAGGGCAGGCATAAAATCATCTGAGGTTAAAACTCCAATGATAGACTCTGATGCCAGAAATAGAAATGGTCTATTTTAATGCTAAGAACGACCTGGGTAGGTAATTCCAGATCAATATCCACCACTTCCCTTCTACACTGATGTGGCCGAGCTGAGAAACAAAAAGAAAGCAGCTTGATGCCTTTCTTGCTTCCTGCCCACTTGATATACCTAGCAAGTCATAGATAACAAGCAAATTCCAGTTAGCACTTGGATCGCAGAACAAGGCCCATGAACCACAAAACAGAAACCAACCATATCACCATACAACATTGTTTTATATGCATCTGAATTTTCTTATCTGGTGACTTGAGCTGCATCCTAATCACTGGAACCACTACCTACTACAATAAGCTGCAACAATAAATGAACTCTCATGGCTCCCAGGCACATTAAATACTACCTCCCTCACCTGAAGGAGCCCATCCTTGGCTTCCTGAGGCAGCCAGGAGGCGGTGGCCACATGGAACCTGACGTCCACTTTTGTGTTCAGCTTGTTGACATTCTGTCCTCCCGGCCCGCCACTTCGGCTGTAGGAAATCTCCAGCTCCTCTGAAACCAACCATGACGTGTCAGAAAAGGATTCATCATAATGATGATGATCTCTTCAACTTTAAGTGATTTGTGTACCTATTGATGTTGAATTACTTTTCCAGTTTGAAAAAGTAATTCGTATTAACAGACAGACAAGGACACCCAAAGCTAGCTTTTTGTTTTTTAGATAATAGGTGTAGGATGAATTCAAAAATGTTATGCAAGAAATGAAACAACAAATATGCCCCTGAATAGTATCAAGAAAGAGGAATATTTTAAGTGGAAAACATAATGCTCATACATTTAAGCCAAATACCTACACTTTCAAATTTCACTTCAGTTCCATTTAACAACTGACTCACTGATTGGAATGTAGCCACTGAAGCCATTTTCATTACTTGGAGCCTGAAAAAGAAAATGAGGACAATGCACATATTCAGACACAGCAAAACACTGGGGGCTTCAGAGTCATGGTTCCGATCATTAGCTGGGAGGAAACTGTTCTCCATAACTTTGATAATGATTAAAATTACAGTTGAACATTCACATGGAATCATTATTAGCTTGTGTGAACAGCATTTAACTCAGTAACCTCAAAAATCATCAAAATTAGTCAAAACATCCCTTTGTAAGCTATCAAAAGACAAACTTGGCGCAACCAGATTGTTTTGAGTGGCTCATAGGTACTCACCGGAACACTGGCAGTGAAGCTTAGATTGGACCCCGGATATAGCTTGTCCAGGCTATAAGCACTTTTGAAACCAGATAAGTGCGCTGATGCTCCGGTATTCAAACATTGAGTGTTGCAAGAAAACAACAATCGCCTCACGCACCCGGCGTACATGGTGGCCGCCATGTTTATGATATGGCTGCACTAGTTGTTTTGTTGCTTTGCTGCCAAATAAGGGATTAGGAGAAATCCTTTACTTCCTCGATCGCTAACATACACACCGCCTTATGACCTTTGCCCTCCGCTTGCCTGCCATTTACCATGTCATGGCCTGTTACCTGCATTCCATGGCTTCGTTGCCTCATTTTTGTTTCACGTTTGTTTTTATAAATTTAGTCCCAACCTTTTGATTGGAAGGATTCACAAGGACAGAGCCCCCGCTAAGCGACGCTTGTCGCTTGTTGCGTTGACCCTGCCCTCTATACCTTCCCGTGCGCAATACCGGGGTTCTATGACAGAATTTAGAGTTAGAGGCGCACATAGCCGTGCACGACCGGTCCCCTCACTAACTTCGCCTGGCTACGGCCTGCCAACAACCGCAACTATACCTGTCAGGAGGCCCATAAATCATGGGCGCTTGACGTTTAATTATGGGCCATAAGTACCTAAACGTCAAGCGCCCGACGCCCGTCTGTCGCGCTTCGAACCCGGACTTTTATAACCAAGAACGCGCGCTCTCACCACGCGGGGTCCAACGCTCTACCAACTGAGCTACGTGACCGGCATTATTTACCATGCCGTCTTTGATGCCGGGTTTCACTAGATCTATATTAACACTGTTCATGTACTATTGGTTTCAACATAAGGGCCCAGGTGACCCGTAGTTTTGATGCGGTGAATACCCTTACCCTTGCCACAGCTCGGGCCGAGTACACCCCTCCTCCCACCCAACCCTACCCTACCCCCACTCGAGATGTGGCGAGGGCAAGGGTATTCACCGCATCCAAAGTACAGGTCTCTTGGGCACTTATCTTGACACAAATAGTTGACCAAAGCCTGACACTCCTGCCTCTGACACTTATCGTGCTTCTTTCGTGGCGCTACGTGACCTTTCTACGTGCCTACGCTACGTGCCTGCAAGTTTCGAGGCATGGCCCTTCCAGTCCACATCGAAACGCCCTTCCCTTCCCCGCTTCGATACCTATTAGGTACGCTCTGGCCACGGCATCTGGATCTGGCAGGGAATTGAAAAAAAATCCTCTTGCTTTTGTCAATGTCTATATTGTTTCATGCCATTACAGTTACAGCATTAAGACGGTTACAGTAGTGTCGCGTGTGCCCTTCGTTCTACCTGTAGCTTGATAGGAATATATAAACAAAAGGCGGTGAAACAATGCCAATCGCAACCGGTATTGAGATTTGAGCGTTAGCAAGCGAGCGGTTGCATCCTGGAATCATTAAGATGTCATCGGATGCCCAATTTACAACCTGATACACTTGCGGAAAAAAAAATTGCAAGTGAGCGCATTACAAGCAGAACAATGCGTCTCACACATACACTAGAAACGGCTCAGGTCAACCTCGGGAATAGCCTTGGATGAGCACGGTGTGATCTTGTTCCTCTCGGTGAGGGGCTCCAGCACGAGGGGCGCCGCGGCAGTACGGCCCTCCTCGTTGTCACAGAGCAGGCGCGCCAGACTGGCCTTGCGCACCTCCCGCAGCTGTTCTCCACTCAGGCTGCGCTCGTAGAAGAGCCGGTCGCCATCCCGCAGCCGCCGGAACTGGTCGGCGATCACGCACTGGAAGGTGGGGCCCACCTTGGCCGAGGGCGCACGACGCTCCAGCATCCCGCCCACCCAGAGGTCAATGTCGTCGGGGCTGGAGTAGATCGCTCGGAGTTCCTCCAGGTGACGGTGTTCGAAGACGGTCTCCAGATCTGTCCAGCCGACCACTGGCTGTCCGGAGCAGAGCTGACGGATGGCCGTATAGGACGGCAGACCCAGATCTCTTCCGCGGAGTACCTCCACGGCGGCCAGCTCCTTGGCAGCACTGTCTTCGTGGTTGGCCGGATTTCCTTCTGTACCATGAAGCATGGCGAGGAAGGCTGCACTACTGTCAATCCCGCTGGCTACCCGTCGTTTTGTCACCGGTCGCGGTCGCTGCCAGAACCTGAACGCAGCCGCCGCGAACTCGACACTCACTGTTGGATCGACGTCATCCTCGTCGTTCGGAGTAAATGAGATGGCCCTTGCGACGTCGGGTCCCAGGACGTGCGGCAGGTACTCTCTGTAGGTGATGTGCTGCCACTGAGCGATCACCACGCGACGTGCCGTCTGGAACAGCCGCTCGTCCTCCCAGAGGGGGTGGTTGCGACGCAGCGCCTCCACCACACGGTTGTGCTCCCTCAGGAGGACTCGGTTGAGCTGATCTGGTGAGGAGCTGGAGGACGGCCGGGGGATCGTCGATGAACGCGGCTCGGGCGCCCAGAGCCGACGCGGCTCGTGCAGACCGTACCTGTTCGGGATGGCGACTCGCACCCGCCCGGGGGGACCTCGAGGGCCCGGCCGGCCGATCGGCCCCATGGCTCCCGCCTTCCCCATGGCACCCTTGGCACCAGCCGGGCCCAGGTCTCCCTTGTCGCCTTTGGATCCCATCTCTCCTTGCTCACCCTTCATTCCCTGTATTCCTGTTTCTCCTTTCATCCCCTTTTCGCCCGTTTCGCCTTTCATCCCCATCTCGCCTTGGTCGCCCTTTTCTCCCACCTCGCCTTTCATACCCTTTTCCCCATCCATTCCCGGGTCACCCTTTTCTCCTTGCATTCCCTTTTCGCCCGGTTCTCCTTTCATCCCCTGTTCACCCTTTTCACCTTGCATTCCTTTTTCACCCATATCTCCTTTCATGCCCTGTTCGCCCTTCATGCCCTTTTCCCCCATGTCTCCCTTTTCGCCCATTTCTCCCTTTTCACCCATGTCTCCTTTCATTCCCGGTTCACCTTTCATCCCCTTTTCTCCTGTATCTCCTTTGTCGCCCATGTCTCCCTTGTCACCCTGCATTCCTTTTTCACCCATATCTCCCTTGTCACCCTGCATTCCCTTTTCACCCATTTCTCCTTTCATTCCTGGCTCTCCTTTCATTCCCTTTTCGCCGGGGTCTCCCTTGTCACCCTGCATACCCTTTTCACCATCCATGCCCTTTTCTCCTTGCATTCCTTTTTCACCCGTGTCTCCCTTTTCGCCTTGCATTCCCTTTTCCCCTGGATCGCCCTTATCTCCCTTATCTCCCTTTTCTCCATCATCGTCATCATTGCCGTTGCCGTTGTTGCCGTTGCCGTTGCCTTGCCTTCCCTTTCGCCGAAGTGAGTGGCTGGTGACGAGCCGGACCTCAGCATCTGGCGCTATCTCTGCCACATTTTCCCGGTCAGCGCCGTTCGCCCAGCGGCGCCGCCGGAGCAGCACATCTTCCGAAGAACCCTGCAGCTGGTTGTCCAAGTCCACAATCAGTTCGGGCACCTCGTCGAGAAGACCACGGTCGTCCCGCAGCCGTCCCCCGCTCAGCGTCCTCAGTCGCCTGCCGGCCTCCTCGGAGCTGCCGTACAGCGTCTCCAGGTCCAGGTAGGAGGAGGCGGCAGACAGCGGCGCCGCCGGACGCATCACGCAGTCCAGCTCGGGCGCCGGCAGCGCGCGCACGAAGCTGACGCACCGGTCGGCCACGCGGAGTGGAAGACAAGCCGGGTGGTTCTCGACGCAGCAGGCTGGTTCGCGGCCGTCCGGCAGTCGGAACGGTGCGATACGCGAGAGGTCCAAGCTCAGGTACTCGGAGAACGTGGAGGTCCAGAAATTTGGTGGTTCGGGGATGTTCTGGTGGACCACCGGCATCCCGGCTTTCTCGGCATCCGGTAAAGGAGATCCGTTGACGTCCAAACTTCGTGGGGTGAAGAAAATCTGGTCGCCGAAGGTTGGACTAGCGAGTCGCCCCAGGCCAGTAAGGGCTCGCCCCATCAGAGGACTCTGCGGAAGGGAAACGGCACGTGAGCTTTTTAGCCAGCTAGAGGACTGAGTCGCATCGACTTATGTGATTTACTGATATCTCGGACAGCTAGGCTTTACGCTAACAGTAAGTGAAAGAAGGAAATGGTGAGAAAGCTATTCATTGGAGGGATGTGATGCCGATGACCTTGCAACAAGGTAAAGATACCGTTTATGCTCACTTAGAACTGCGGTCTAAATCGCCATCAACTTCTACAACATATTTGGAAAGACATTCATTTGACTGAAGTTATGGCATTATCAATAAACCACGAAAAAAAGTGAGCAATGTGACCCGTAAGGAGTAAGCACCCTGAGAGTTGTTACGATGCCTTAGGGAGTTGCTTTCGATGCCTGCGATTACACTGTTCGCCATGTCAGCTGGTGTCTGGGGCCGAGCCTACCTTCAGGCTCGTGCAGTGTCCCCCGAGAGTCCGGTAGGCGGCCGCTGATCTGTCGCAGTCGGTCTCAGTCGCCGGCACGCAGCCCGGAATACGGTACTGGGCATCATCAACGGTCTCTGATCCAGTGGGGAGCTTCTCTAATGACCTGTTGGCAGGGAAAACCAGCGTCAGCGTCGTTTGTCCGTCAAGAACGGCTCTCGCGAGATTAAGCGGTAGGTTTTGCACTTTTACATTTCCGGTTATAACTCTCAGAAACTAATTGATCTACGATGAAGCCATTTTACACGATCATGGCCGGCTTGTTACCCAACAAGTCGATCGCATCTTCAACACTTAAAAGCTTAAGACGACGAAGATATAGCCTGAAGTACACTAAATTTTCTAGGTGCAAAACCTACCGCTAAAACCCGCGAGACCTGTACATATGTAGCTAAGTGGTAGAGCATCGGACGCAAGGGTGTGAGTTCGGTTCGTTCAAGTAGTCCAGCGCTCGAATTTCTTTTCTTCTCGCGGACTTCTCTCGCGAATGTTGTATGTACTTAGTGGGATCAGTCACGCAGCTAGAGCCTAGATGACGTCAGCTGAGTGGGGCATATAGTGTCCAGCTTTGGTGGGCTCGCCAAACCCTGGCATCCCAGTCCCCTCGGTAACCTGGACTACCCGATCGCTGACTTACCCCGCGTTCGATGTCTCTCGGACGGCGAAGATTCTACCAGAATCTTCTATTCTAGTACGTCGTCCGGCCAATCACGTACAAGGTCAACGGGGGCTCGGCTGCGGTCATGGAGCGTGATTGACCGGACGGCGTAGAATCTTCGTCGTCCGAGAGACATCGAACGCGGGGTTAGTCAAGAAGTATTTACAGAATAACCCCGCGCTCGATGTCTCTCGGACGGCGAAGATTCTATGCCGTCCGGCCAATCACGTTCCATAACCGCAACCGAGCCTCCGCTGACCTTGGACGGGATTGGCCGGACGACGTAGAATCTTCGTCGTCCGAGAGACATCGAACGCGGGGTAAGTCAAATGTCAGCAAAGGAATCATGAGCGCGCGCATTGATCACGGACTCGTACTCACAGCGAGGTCTGGTTGCCGACGGCCTGGACGGTGTGGAGCCGCTGCAGGCCGATCCTGCCCACCTCCTGCTGGACGGCCGGGTCGCCGCCGGCGGCCGTCGTTAGCTCGGTCAGGTCGGCCTCCTCGGGGCCGGGCCGGCGCGCCGCCGCCGACAGACGCTCCTCCAGCTCGCTCAGTAGCGCTGAGGCGCTGGCTGACCGCCGGAGCGCCGCCTCGGCAGAGAAGGAGCCCAGAGGAGCCCGCAGCACCCATTGGCCGGGCGGGGACAGGGGGCGTACTGGTGCGGGGGGACGGTGGGATGGAGCGCAGGTGGTGCCGTCGGAGCCGTCTTCTAGGACGCAGCGCTGGAGATAGTCCAGCGGCCAGCAAAGAACTGGTGGGAGACATACGGTACTGCGGGACACAGGCCCATGGCATGGTTAATCGGAGGAACTCTGACTCTGTCTTATCAGGCACATGTGTCTAGACTCTACTGGCATCACACCTAGTTATATGGTGGGATAGTATACTCAGTATGCTGTCTCAGTTATTGGTAAAACCTGGCGGTCTTCCAGTGCACGACTAAACAGCGAAACTAACTCGAGCTTGATATGCATATCGCGACACCATTCACAACCATTTATCAGATAGAAATAGATGACCGTTTTTACAGCCAAGACATGGCGCCACTACAGAAAACTAACCTGCTGTCTCCATAGAACTGGTCGCAACACACTCCCTCCGTGCCATTCACGAACGTGCAGACCTCAGCGCCGCCCTGCGGTGACACTGTGAAACACTGCTGCTTGGTGACACAGTGGCAGCCATGCTGGGTCCGCTGTCGCTGCTGCTGCTGGGTTGCGCGGTGCTGAATACAGCAGGATATCAGCACCAACTGAAAGAGGCAGGGGAAGCAAGATAGTACCAGAACTTCGCCAAAACTTCGGTGCGGACGTGGTCCCACATCAAAGTGCGGATATACGTGAATAAAGACGGATCAAGGCAGCTAAAAAATTCAAATGTCGAGATCGGTCCGTAGCCTGACGTCATCACGCTCATGGCGACGTTAGGCGGCACGGGCGGACATCGATAGCAGCGCCTCTATCGGTCACTAGGTAAAGCTGGGCTGTAGGCGACGAAATACCGGCTGAGTTGTCACACGTTGAATAGGTTTATAGACATCCGTCTTGTGAAAAAGTTGAACTTTTGCCTTCAATATTTCTACAGACAATTTTAGAAGTGTCTTCACATAGATTACAACACCGTTTAGATTATTGTATTCACTTCAAGCCTTCCCTATTGTTCTTGATGATGCAGGAACTATTTCTAATAAGTGTTTCTAGCTTAATAAAAGAACATATTGTGCAAACGATGAAAAAAGCATAGATGGAAGATTTTAAATGCAATTTTCTCTAGCAATTAATGGTAAATTATCTACAGATCAAGGAAAAGGTGCATGCTAACTGATAATTTAAAGTTCTTGGGGCCAGTTGTTTTCTTCCTTTCTTACGTCGCCCCAATGGCCGCGAATACACTTGTGATAACGCCTATCGATGGCTGATGAGCTCCCATCGTCAGGTCATGCCACCCAGGGCCACTAATTGTTGGCACTTCACACACATGTCTGACCCGGCTGCTGTAACTCTCCTCGTCGACCGTCTCTATAGGCGAACGATCTAGTGGCGGGAGCACGCAATAGATCAATTCGGCACAGGTCATGTCCCTTTTACATTGAACCACTTGATCATTTCAATAGCTTTATTTTATCAGCATATTATTATCATTGCTGCGTACAGAAGTGTATCTTTTTTAACCAGCTGAGCGCGAGATTCACATTTCATTTGATTTTGTTAGAGAGCAGGTTTTCTAGCATCAATGAGTTAAATAGAAACGACGATAAAATGCTGCTTATGACACAGTTGCTTAGAAGTGGTCTTTTAGTTGGATAGGGTAAAAAGAGAGTCTCCTACCCAAGTAGCATGAGCCAAGGCCAGAACTAAAGTGATAAGCCGTACTCCACATCCCACAAGATGATACGGGCGGAGCATCTTTAACCCGCGCCCCACGGGGGGGGGGCTATTCATAGCCCCCCTCCCGTTTTTCTGCAATAACTTCCAAACCGCTTGACGTATCAACGCCAAACTTTCAGTACCTTCGACTGCATCCATTTGACACCTTGTATCAAAATATGAACTTTGTAGCTACCATAGGTCGACCGGAAATGACGTCACAGTGACGTCATGTTCGGCCGATTTCGACGCAAAACATTGAACCACGGCAATCACTCCCAAGAGCTCAGTTTTTAAGCTAGATCCAATTTCTTTGCATGAGAAGACTTAGAATAGCCTACGCTATCAAACTGCTGTCTCGGATTTTCAAAATTTTGAAATTCTGAAAAGTATATATAATTATAATAGAATTCAAAATTTATATTTTCATTTTTTTTCAAAAACTTTTTGACTTTTCAAAAAACCTGAATATATGTGATAGAACACATGCTTATGACTTAGTGTAGCAAGTTTTAGCTAAATATCTTCAAAAATGGCCAAGTTATACGCATTATTGCAAAAAATTCACAATTATCAATTTTTTATTAAACCCATTTTCAGTACGTATTTGACATCGTACACCAATATAAATAGCACCATCGTGTTCCTGAGCTCAAACTGCATCAAACAGACAACTTTTTTGTTGAACATTTTTAACTTCAAAATTTGACCTTTTTTGACTGAAAGTGACCTGACCTAAGCTAAATTCAGCTCAAAATGACCTCGAATGACACAAACGACATCCAATTCGAAATATATGGCCTAAATGGACCATAAAACATGTGTCACGTGACCGAAGCATGATATAATATTTCCGTGACCTGTGATGACCTGACCCTGACCTGAAAATCAAAGTACAAGTTTGGTACCCTCAGGGTATCTAAAACATCTGTTCACGAGTGTGTACATAATCCAAAAATGAGCCTGATCTGACTTCTAAGACGGCGGCCAGAGCCCAAAATGTGAACAAGCCAAAATGCTAATAATTTTTACGTTGACTTGACCTGTGACGTCATCGGTGACCTCGAGGTCAATGAAATTAGGTATCGCTCGACAGTTTTTCCTAAGCTATCAGACGCCGTTTGAATTTTGACGATCGGCCGAGTAGTTTTGGAGTTAGGAGAGGGGGGGGGCTATGGAGAGCCCCCCCCCCAGTAGGGCGTGTTATACGCAGACCCCAGTGGGGCGCGTGTTAATCGAAGGTTCAGTCAATTTGGGAAAGCATAACGAACGAAATGAGGTACCAAACGTTGGAAATCTACATAGAGTTGATTCAAGGATAAAATGATTTGCCATTTTAACCCTCGCCCATGTAGGGGGTTGGTTGGTGCAACCCCCCCCCCCTGAGGTTTTTCGGAAATAGTGCAAAAACGGCGGCGCGCAGCGCCGCAATATTTTGGGTACCTTATGGGGCAAACCTTGCGCATCTTTTGATAAAAAAAATTTGACCGG